GTGTGTTTTAATTGTGTTTGATTACACGCGAGTTTAGACATTTTGAATATTTTCAGGGGAGTGCGAGGCTGATTATTACTCAACGTTTTCCTGATACAGACCTAATTAATAAAACATTAGTTACTGATACAGAACTAATGTTTTATTAATTAGGTCTGTATCAGGAAAACGTTGAATGATAATCAGCCCCGCACTCCCCTGAAAACATTCAAAGCCGCCCCCAACTTTGAGCTTGCTGCCCCTTTTATCCAATATAAAGGTATAATCACGTGATTAGATTCTCAGTATATCATTGGCTAATAACATTATGAATTATTAATGAGTTTGATAAGAGAGTATAAACCGAAATAACGCACAGTACGCTAAAGTGTATTTCACCAGTTAAAGGCAGCCGCTCTAAACAGTTCAAGCAAACTAAATATACAAACCAATATATATGTAGCACTCTTCACAATATGCGTTCCCGTTAAGCCGAAACATATTACAGCAAGAATATCATAGCCCGCATGATGTTCTCAGCATTAAGTCAAGACTACGATGATTCATAGAAAACTTCAATATCGCTTGGCATAAAGTATGCGCTGCCTGCAAAGAATGRACAATATGTATACAGCATACAACCGGGGGGAGGCAAGTACGTATGTGGTTTGGTATATGACGCATTATTACTCGACGCTTGATTGGACAAAAACAGGTCATTTCCACCTCCGAATGTTGGTCCTGAAATMWAAACRCGATAWTACAATAAATATAATAGGTAATATATAGAAGACATTACMTGGACKCGCGGTAATACTAATTTTATCTTCGTGTGTTCAATCGATATCAATTGAACACGAGAARATAAAATTAGTATTTCCAAGCAGCCATGAAATGTTCTATTTAATATATATATCTATCTATTATATAAATATTGATCTAATCAGAGTTAATAGAGGGACCTCTATTAAATCTGTTCTAATTGGCCGAAAAAATGTATCGCCATGCAAACAGTGATATCTTCCCATGTGATACATGTAATATACATCATGCAAGCAATCAAGAGTCCCGGGTCAGTGGGCCAGTGTCCCGGGTCAGTTGGTTAGTGTCCCGGGTCAGTGTCCCAGTGACGGCCCACTGTCCCAGTGGTTGTTGTAGAAGTAGATACATATAATATTCATCATGCAAGCAATCAAGTGTCCCGGGTCAGTGGGCCAGTGTCCCAGTGACCCACTGTCCCAGTTGTTGTAGAAGTAGATACATTATATCATGTACACCAAGCAAAGAAGCAAGGAAAGCAATAATCCCTGTACTTTGTGATATACAATCATAATAACATATTCAGCACCAGAGAGAAAATTTGTCTAGGAGGAAAATACAATCAAAGAATAGTGAGTTTGGTGCCTTGCAACACCAAGAAACAGCCGATATCTTTTCATGGTTCAAGATATTGCATTTTCACAACTAGAGAAAACCTAGTATCCAACTAGAGAAAACCTAGTATCTCAACGATATGCATATGTAATAATTCTATTATAAAACACTGAGACGTCATCCGTATTTAGTACTGAAAACCTTTAGATAGGGCCTAAACACAATTTATGCTTGTCTTGTAGTCTTCCATCTTGAAATTAGTGTTAGCCCAGATCAAATGAGGTGGATGGATTTCAACTTTAAGAGACCACTGATTTACAGCTAGTTCAAAAAACGTTGAATACTGAAGATTGTGTCTTCCAAAATGCATTTTTGGTCGTTCTATCACCGTTGACGAAAAGGAGTTATCGCGTTGTCAGAGTGACTATATCTGCTCCGTTCAATCAAGAATTTCAAATGGAAATCAATTAAGTTTAGAATTGTAATTTTGTAAGGCAGCTTAAACCGGATTTTACACGGTAAGATTGTCGCGGGTGCGACTAAAATTGTCGCGTACGACTTTTAGCATACGATTTTCCTACGACAACTCGTTAGATTTTGAGCCGTGGTTGAAAATCCTACTACAAGTCGTATATAGGGGCATTTACGCGGCGCAATCTGGAGCACTCTCGAGTCGTATATACTACAAGTAGTACACGACAATCGCATCGTGTAAATCGGACTAAATCCGCTTTAAGCAGGAGTTTGATAACAATGCATTGCAGTCTTGGAATGCCATGACCGGCCGAGTATTCAGTCGTTGGTATTCAACGGACCATTCAACGTTTTCTTCTGAACACCGAAGACAGGTTTAAGAACATAACAGACATCGATGAATATGTGTAGTTTACAAAATGAACGGACATGTTGTATGGGAATTACAATCTCGAGCCGCAGCTGCATTTCCTGTAAGTGCTTTGCTCGAGAAAGTATCGCCGTTGTACATTGCCTATTAAACTTGTTCTTTTTATTACGGTAGATTATAGCTATCAAGGAGATTTTCTATATTACCTTGAAAGCCAATGCCAGACGTCACAGCGTTGTTGTTATTTTCTCCAGTTAGATTCAGCTTAATTGGTTGTAATCCATTGATGTTGTACAACGAATACAGAAATGATTGATTGGAGAAGTGATAACCATCCTTAGCTTNTCAAAACGCGATAATACAATAAATATAATAGGTAATATATAGAAGACATTACATGGACTCGCGGTAATACTAATTTTATCTTCGTGTGTTCAATCGATATCAATTGAACACGAGAAAATAAAATTAGTATTTCCAAGCAGCCATGAAATGTTCTATTTATCATATAATTATCTATGAAATACCTATGTTTCTCCATTTCGTAAAATTGATATTTTCACTAGTGAAAATAACACATTCGAGGTTTCTCTATAAAGTAAAAGTTGGAAAAAATATATTTTACGACATAATTTGCTTTCATATGTAATTATATGATAAACAGAAAATTACATGGTTGCTTGGAGATACGAATTTTATCTTCTCGTGTTGAAAATCTTTTCTCCACTCGAAGATAAAATCCGTATCTCCGCGAGCCCATGTAGTATCCTCTATTTATTATATAGATATCAATTTATCGATCTATTATATACATATTGATCTAATTGGCCGAAAAAAAAATGATATCTTCACATGTGAAACATATGATATCTTTTCATGATTCAAGATATTGCATTTTCACAACTAGAAAAAACCTAAATAGTATCTCAACGATATGCACATAATAAATTTTGATATAAAACACTGAGACGTCATCCGTATTTAATACTGAATACATTTAGACAGGACATAAACACAATGTCTGCTAGTCTTTTCGTCTTCCATCTTGAAGTTAGTGTTAACCCAGATCAAGTGAGGTGGATGAATTTTAATTTTAAGAGACCACTGATTTACAGCTAGTTCAGAAAACACGTTTAATACTGAACATGGTGTATTCCAATATCGAAATGCATTTTGGGTCGTTCTATCACCGTTGACCGTTGAATTTTTGTAAGGCAGCTTAAACCGGATTTACACGGTAAGATTGTCGGGTGCGACTAAAATTAAAAGCATACGATTTTCCCACGACAAGTCGTTGGATTTTGAGCCGTGGTTCAATTCCTACTACAAGTCGTATATAGGGGCATTTACGGGGCGCAATTTGGAGCTTATTCGATTCGTATATACTACAAGTCGTACACGATAATCGCATCGTGTAAATCGGACTTATATCCGCTTTAACCTGGACTTTGATAACAACAATGCATTGCAGTTTTGGAATGCACGGGACGAGTATTCAGTCTTCAGCATTCAATGGACCATTCAACGTTTTCTTTTGAAAACCAAAGACAGGTTTAAGAAAATAACAGAAATCGATCAGAATATGTGTAGTTTACAAAATGAACGGGCATGTTGTGTGGGAATTACAATCACGAGCCGCATTTCCTGTAAGTGCTTTGCTCGAGAAAGTATCGCCGTTGTACATTGCCTATTAAACTTGTTCTTTTTATTACGGTAGATTATAGCTATCAAAGACATTTTCTATATTACCTTGAAAGCCAATGCCAGACGTCACAGCGTTGTTGTTATTTTCTCCAGTTAGATTCAGCTTAATTGGTTGTAATCCATTGATGTTGTACAACGAATACAGAAATGATTGATTGGAGAAGTGATAACCATCCTTAGCTTAAAAGAAACAAGCATGAACAAGCACTRGCAGAGAGGACATTGGTAACAAGCTAAAATGGTTTTGTCTCCAAAAATAGCATAGGTAGGGCCCTAGTGGGGTCCGGGGATAAATTAGTAGAATAGTGCTATCCACCGCATAAACGAGAACGGTCAAGGTCGTGACCGGAACATCAGCATCAAATGTGCTTTTAGCTAGTGGCAACAACGACTATGTATAATAATATTCTATGTTCTGTGTTGCAATATTGTTATACTTTCTCTAATATTGGAAGCGCTCACGCATTATCGATGCAAGCTTTAATTGCATTTAATTATAAAAACCTTGTCCATGAAAGAAAGTGTTCAGCCGTTCAGTGTTTAATGTTTCCTAAGTTGCTAAGGCCCCGTTTACATGAGTMTGACGGGGTGYCCCTGGGTAGYWSACYTAAWCTGTACACTRCCTTTAAGATTTATTAAACTTACATTGCCAGGATACATCAGTATATCCACCAAACACGTATGGTCCTACACGCACAATAGTCACAGACGGTCCTTTTCCATCACATTGTGGATGAAATGTACTTTCAACGTACCATCCATCTGTTAATGCACGCCAGCATCTTACCCATCGCTTTGTATTGGCACTCGGTAAAAGAGCCATATAAKCATTAAGGGCTTGAATATAGCTGATATTCCCATAATTAGCCAGAATGGATGAATTYTCAAATCCTCCTACAATAGAAATGCAATCTACATCAACACTTGATATACTATCTAGAAAAACTTGAAAAACGTGTTTTTAACAGGGCCTTGCAGTTTCCCTTTTTGACAAGAGAAAATGCAAGTCATCGTCAACGTTATRTRTCTGCATTTWTTTGAAGGTMGCTTGTCTCAGAGATTAGTCATCGGTYACTTGTAGTTGCCGACCACTGTCGTCTAGTCTYTTGAAGTCTACTAATCTTTATTGGCTTTGTACTTACTAGCTGTTGGATARTACGTACAGTCTAATCCATTGCCATAGTATCCTGGTAAACATTGACAGKTAAAAGATCCTTTGGTGTTGATACAGACTGCATTTTGATGACAATTGTGTGTTTTTGCTGTGCATTCATTGATATCTTGAAAAAGAAATTCAAACCCTAAGCAAATATGAGGCGAGCACCTGTTTCAATGTTTGCCGAAAAGAAAAATAATCATTCCCRCCAAGACCTGCACCTATAGYGCTTCAGTGTCGATTCTGTCCATCTGTTTTCTAATCCGGAAATTCACCAATCATACACTGTTACCTTTTTAGTCCTCTTCCTATATCAAACGCTGACTTTACTTAAAAACGCTAAYCTAGTTTASATCTTAGTTGTCTGTGAATATTTARACGGGGAAGAAGGTTTCAATACAATCAACAAGACAATATTGATGTTTTCTGGAGAGTTGGGGTATCAAGCTACCAATATTGGCGAAGATTGTATATATARAATGAACTACAGTATTCACAAGCAATCAATATGAATACGCCCTCACAYTGACTAATCTTCTAGCAGGACATCAACTCAAATCTTGGGAGTAAAACTGCAATTTGACTGATGTCATGCGATTGACWTTTCTTAAGAATTCTGKGCATTGTATTATAAGACTGAACTAAACTCCCTCTTTACTCCRAYAAAGGATTAACGTCCGAATTTTAACGTCAGTAAGTTATTTTACCTACTTGTTTACGGTATTTAATATATCTTTTTACACAACTGTTTCTTTAGAATCAGCGACGCAGCTCAGTCACACTAGTTTACCGCTAGTTCCAACCATTTTAACTCGGGTGGCAATAAAGGGGAGGGAAATTGCTCTTAGCTTGCTCGAGAATTTATCAGTTTTAGTAAYTTCGATTAAAAGTCGTGCAATATGTATAACCGTTGTATTACTCTTTTATCGCAGATATTTGCTGATTAAGTTTTGTGGTCGAGATGAATTACACAAACAACTCTGTGTTGTTTCTGTTTCTTAAAACAACAAGATATAAATCTCAGTTACCTGTTTCACAATTGATACCTTGATAACCGTTTTGACATGYGCAAATGAATGATGTAGTTGAAGTGATGATGCAGGAACCTCCATTATGACAAACGTTACAAGGGTCCTATAAATATAAAGACAGAGAATGCAAATCAATTATTGCTATATTGTAGTTTCCGGTTTTTCTTGCCGACGGAGAACATGAGCCCAATAAAACAATGATTAAATGAAGATGCAAAAGGTGGGATTCCCGCATTTCTCACAGATGAAAAATGCGCTAGTTGGTCGGCCAGTGCTGTCTGAACATTCTAAATTTTATATATAACCTATTTAGTGGTCTCCAAAGATCATCCCCAGTACTCGATTGAAGTTGGAAACAACGGTCACATGACTATTACCATTTATATAACAAAAGTGGAAGTAAAGCTATAGCTAGAATTTACGAACGAACCTCTTATTTTGTACTCACCGTAGTCTCAAAATGATCAAATTTCAAGTTGTCTTCTAWCATGTTGGTTCTTTCTCTTTTACCAACAGAAAGAAGCTCACACCTCCTCGGCTTTTCTTGTTCGTTGGCTTTTTCAAAATTAACCGATTTACATGAATTCACTTGTTGACAAAGCATRGCACATTCTAATTCACTGCGCATTTTTCTAGTTTTTATCAATGTTCCTAATTCACTAGTAATAGTAAGTCGCTTATTTGAGGCTGTCAAAAAGTTGCTGTAGTGTTCTTTTGTCTTGCATAAGCCGATGCTAAAAATGCAAAGGCACARGGTGGAAAGGAACATRCGAGTCTGSAAGCATGTCATCATGCTTGGTGAGTAAGAGCGTCAGCTAAGCAATAATGAAAATAAAGTTAAAAAAGAAATGAAATACCCTGGATAATATTGGTTCAGGTGTATATTCTATATCTAATTTCATTTGACTCGTTTCGATTAAGTTTAGTCTCRGATCAAATATCACGCAAAGCATAGCAAACACTTTCATTTTAAACAAAATTATTCTTTTTAAATACACATTACCAATATTTTCGCGTTCATATCTTTAATTTTCCTTCGTCTGATTCCATAATGAATGACGGCATGAAGTCCATTGAATTCCATTTTTTTTATTTCACTAAATTTCTAGCCTCCCAAGATTTCATATCTTATAATGAATATACTTTTCGATTTTGTTCATAATTGTTCATAATTCTAGGTAAAATCATTTGAGTTTAACTTAAAGTCAAGATCATGAATCATCAGTAGTGCAAGGATTTCTTCTGTTTTCAAACTTTTCCTCTAAATGATTGCTGAAATAAAAAAAGCACCAATAATCAAGTTTTGTTTTTATTCACTAGCGTCAGTAAGTTTTTTTTAATCATACTAGCTCTAGCTCAATCATACAAACCATAGGGGACATTACCTGTGCCCGGAAACAGTGTAGCAATATATCATTTTGTAAGCTTAACGTATAATAGTTGTATTTTCTGTTTGAGAAATAAGACGACATAGCGCTGTTATATTGTTCTAAAAGCGAAGTTAAAGTGTGTAAAGTGCTTTTTGTTTTCAAAAAATCACAATGTTTGAATCATTAAACATTAGGCATGGCAGATRTCAGACTTTTACCGGAGTATACTGCAAGAAAGCCAGATCTTCCTTTTGATGAATCKGATTTAAAAGTGATGTATAGCTCCTTGGATGAGCTGGTAATAGTTGGTGGCAAGCTGTCTCCACTGAACTGACCCAGAGATGGATAATGTTCGGATCCACCATCGTAGACCTTCACTTTATCACAGCATTTCTCGGTTTCGAACTTCACAAACTCGAGCTTAATTCTAGTGTTTGATGTTAATTTCCATCGRACATTTGCATYCGTTGGRTATGTTCTTGGATATCTATATGACATCAGTTGACCTGTAGAGTTGCCGAGTCTTTTGTATATGTAACGCACATTGCCGTGACGGTAACGCCAAGRTAGCYGTGGTAAAGTCACAGTTATCCACTCTGAAACGCCATTAGAACATAGATTAAGTGCATGGAAAGATATTTTTAAGGCCTTTAAGGGCTGGAGGAAAAAAACAGGCCTATAGCCACAATTCGATAGGTCGATTAAACAGTTTAACAGTTAAATAAATCACAGTGAATTTAAGTATATATTAAAATTTGTTTGGTCATACTTCATTCTAACCCTATATTTTAACCTTCCAAACTCCATTGGTAAACATTGAGCAACCTTATCTCATGTAAATAGACTCTAAAACTAGGCGTGTTCTGCTTGTTAGTTCATTGTTGCGCAGAGTTTTGAATATATCATAACTGATGAGCCGATTTTTAAGCTTTGCCAGTGCTTCGTGTTCTGAGCGTGCAGCGATTTTTAAGCTTTGCCAGTGCTTCGTGTTAAGCGTGCAGCGATTTTTAAGCTTTTCCAGTGCTTCGTGTTTAGCGTGCAGCCATTTTAAATAAAACTTGTTATTTCAATATTCATTTTATCATATGACCCGTATTTCGGTCCTACGCACTCGCGCTCTTAAAAAACCTTTGGGAAATGGTCGTGAGCGTGATGGGGGACGTACGCCTTTTCGCGACAGGGACGTACAAACCCGTATCTTCCCGGCTTGAAGTTCCGCGCGCTTTTATTTTTTTTTTTTTTACATCAAAAAAACGCTGTCATATGATAAAATGCTCATTGACTGAGTTAGGTCGGGCCGTACGGGAAAATATTTGGCTCTCTCTAGTGCGCTCGTTCCGTACGGCATAACCTCGAGCCAAATACTTTCCCGTACGGCCCTCCCACTCAGTCAATAAGTACATAATACGAAGTCACTAACAGGTGGAGTTTTGTGACGGTGCCTTGCCRTATCCGTATGCAGTGCTTCCTTCGCACAGTTATATGAAATACGGCGCTCTATGCCACTTACTTTTTATAACCTTCACTTCAACGCKTTGTTCCTCAAATCCAAATTGATTGAGGGCCACACAAGAATACGTTCCTGAGTTTTGTTCAGTCGTGGCATTTGTCAGTCTTAAGGTAAGGTCATATCCTGTTGTGGATATAATTGTAGTGCCTTCATATTTCCAAGATATCTTAGGCATTGGAACACCAACAGCAAAGCAGGTTCTTGTTAAGTTCTCTCCTTCAAATATTTTGACTTTTAACGGACCTCTGGGTTTTAGAGATCTCACTGCAGCAGGAACTAAAAAGTGTAAAACATGAATTGCATATGAAAAAGTTTCCTTATTGTAAAAGCGAAACGAAATGAAAATGAAAATCGCGTTATTTGTACTTTGCGAAAGGAAATATTTAGCACAGTGCAAATCGCATTTTTTTGTACCACATGAGCAAAACTCTGATGTTCCGAAAAAATATACTTGTATTTGTTTTATATAGGAAGGATTCTGTTTATCTTTCAGCTAGGTTTGTGCCATTATGACGAAAAACAAATGTTTTCTTTTCGAAAAGTACAAAATATTAAGCTCACCAAATTTAACGAATAAATATATCTGATATATTGTGCTGTTCAGAGGTATACCAATACACCGCTTGAATTTCAAACGGATCAGACTTCGACAGTCTCATACTTGGTAAACTTAATATACATTAAGGCTAATCTTTTTCGGTGCTCATCAAATTGTAATGGCTGAGTTATCCATGAAATTTCATAGTTAGTACAGAGAGATTCTCCCCTAGTAACAATGCCAAATTTTTATTCGTGTGTAAAACTAAGCTTAAAACAATCCATATGTGATTGTTCTTTGATAATTTTTTTTTCGTGTTTGGTAAAAAACAAACATGTCCTTTATGTTATTGTGAAGGTAACGAGCTGCAATAGCTACTGCTGACCAGCTGCTTACCTGGCTGTCTGACAACAAATAATACGTTAACTTTGACTTCCCCAAGGATGTTCTTTGCTATTGCCAGATAGTTACCAGAATCTGTGAACTGGGCATTGTTAATTGCAAGACTAYCATTTTCTTGTCGAAATCTTTTTAAACCTTGTACATAAAAAGGTGTTATCCACGATATCTCTGCTTTGGGAATCGAAAAGGCATCAAATTCTAAAATTTTGGTTTTGCCTTTGAAGCCATATTCTGTAGAGTTTGGCTTTTTTGATATTGTTGGCGGTACTGAAAATACATAAATTGAATAAGCATAGTATCATTAGAAGTTGTATTATATTTTGTAGTATATTTTGGCAATTAATCTTAATATCATCTCTCCTTCTATTTCTCACTCAAGTCTCCCACTTCCTTTTTGGACAATAATCAGTTTTGCTTGCAACAATAAAGTGATGAAAGATAATGAGATTTTGTTAACATTTCTAGGTGCTTTGCATTTTCATATAGAACGGCGGGACTGCATCTAGCATCAACTTGGGGAGCTTGTATGTCAAGTAATGACCAAATGAAAGTAAAATTCACCAGTAATTTACAATGTTAAGATTACCTTGTACAATAACACGAACTTTTTCCTTTACCATTCYAACCGAGTTTGTTACAATACACTCATATTCACCCCTGTCTTGATATTGCACGTTTTTTATGATCAACATTTGTGAATTGTAAAATGAACGACCAAGAGGAAGAGTTCCATTGATCTTTCGCCATACAATTTCAGGGATTGGAAATCCCGTCGCGTTACATGGAAGCGTCAAGTTTTCACTTTGGTTTGTTGTCAGCAGATTTCCATGGAAGTAATCAATCTTTGGATGTACTATGACAGAAAATAGTATGAGGAAAACATGATGGCAGAACTGATACAAATAACATATTAACAACTACTAAAACATAACTTTACCATTAACAGTAACTGTAGCCTCGAATAACTTTGATCCAAGGGTATTTGTGGCGTTACATACAAATGTGCCTTCTTCTGCTTTACGTATATTTCTAACCAGTAGGACGCCTCCCATAACAATGCTATGTTGTACTGGCATCGGCCCGCCATTTTTTCTTTTCCACGTAATAGTTGGCTTGGGCACTCCAAAAGCACGACAGGCCAGAAGGGCGTTTTCTCCTTGAACGACTKTGAGTTTGGGTGGAACTACAGCACAGCGTACATATTCTTCAAAGAAAAAGAAAACGAAAACAAATGAAAGTAAATAATGAAAATTCATTACCGGCGATGGCCTGATAGAATTAATGGGTTTGTGTGTGGTTTAAACTTTCGGGTTGGCTGCCACCATTGTTTTGGAGTAGGACTAAAATGAAAATTTGTATGCCGGATATGGGAGAAAAGAGGAATTTAAGGAAGTAGGAACTGTGCAAGGACCAATSAGTGTTACATAATACATACCTTGTACTAGGAGGTAGGAATCGAGTCTTGAAACACCCATGAAATTGCGAGCTTGACAAAAATAAGTCCCAGTGTCATTGCCACTTGCATTTGTTATCAATAAAGAGCTTTGTATTACTGGATGGTGAAGTTCACTTGGGCAAACTGAACGAGCTCTAAACGATCCTGTATRGTGAAAATATGTATAATTGTGAATTTTATGAGTGCTGACATCTACCAATGTGCTAAATATGCAGCTTACCTAAAGGTGTGACATCACGATTTGTGATGGTGTATTTTTGTGACTTTCGGTCTCTTTTTGCTTTTATAATMGTACTGTCATGATACCAAGATATTGTTGCAGGAGGATTTGCAGTTACGTTGCAAGAGAGCACTGTTGCTTTTCCTTCGTTGGTCACGACGTTGCTGGTACCAGACTTGATTGCAGGAGGCGCTGGTTTGATATAATGTCATTAAACGATACTAAGCCAAAAATATAGTGAAAGAAGAACAAATGGATGTGAAACTAATGAAGAAGGATTCTCGCGAAAAAGGAAGAAAACATCAAAAAATAGCTAGGGAAGGATACAAAAAAGGAAAAAAATGAAGACAAAAAAAAAATGAAGATAGAGTGTAAGGCCAGTAATTAAGGGGAGTCCTCAAGGGGTAAATAGGGGATTGGCATTTGCCTTTTTTCGAGGCTGAGAATTGGGATTTGCCCATTGACCTTGGGTGTCAAAGGACATCGTTCTCATACGGAACGTTTCAGACGGTCGTTTATTTACACTATAGCAAACCAAGTATAATCATGGTTAGCATAATTTTAAGATTCTGCGATAATTTTTATAACTATTTATATATTATTAATCACGCATATTAATATTTTTGTAAATAATTTTATCTTAGATCATATTTATATTAATTCAGTCTCTGACTGTAATGTAATTTTATTAATAAAACTATTTTGATCTTCCTGTAGTTAGTATTCAATTTGGGCTTCCTGATCCTGTTGCTAATTTTTKKAATTTCTTGTGGTTAATGTTTGTGCTTCCTCAGTGATAGTAAAAACGATTAAAAACAATAAAAAATATTGTAATGAAATAACAAAAAAAGTAAGGCAAGGAAAAGAAAATGGGAAAAATGATGGATAAAATCAAGAAGCGAAAACAAATTGAGGAAAAAACTGTAATTCAAACATCGTACCAAAAGATGTACCAGCGCATCCCTTTTCCCCTCGATTGCCCATAGCTCCTTGGTCGCCTTTCTCGCCTTTCAAGAGAGTAGGGAATAAACAATTAAAAAAACGGGTGAAACATATTAAGRTTTTAATGCAAAAACAAAGAAAAGGCGGCACATCTACCTTTAAGATTTTTACAATCACTTGTTCCATTTGCAACAAAATCCTGTGTGAAGAAATGTGGAAAATGTAGTTAGTTAACAAATTCGGCTCTGGTACAGAAAATGACAAATGCACATCACAATCAATACTAATGTCATGGGCTGGTTCCAGTGATTTCTGAACTCCACCTGGCAGACGAATTCTTTGAAATATAAGACTTTGTTTGGCAAATCATTTGGATAAGATATTTTCTAATGGTCCAACACTTTGTTCAGCCGTGAATCCAAAATAGTACTCGATGTGCAATTTTGAGATAA